CATCCTGACACGCTACTTCACCTTTCGACCTGTGGTTTTGCTTGGAAGTATCTTACTTTGCCTTGGACTTTTAATCTCGTCTTTTGTCAAAGACATTTCAGTTTTCTACCTAACATACGGCGTGATATTCGGAACTGGGACATGTCTAGTGTACATGCCTGGCGTCATAGTTATACCATGTTGCTTCCAAAGGAATTTAGCCACGGCAACTGGCTTGGTTATCGGTGCTAATAGCGCCTTCACAATGTGGTGTGGACCAGTGTATGAATATCTGATACGCCAGTATGGCTGGCGTGCTACTTTGAGAATTGTCAATCTGATTCTTATTCCCTTAGCTGTTTCATGTGCCTTGTTGCCTAGTAAAAACCAGGTCCCCAGTGAAAGGCAGTCTCGTGGTTTTAAAGTTAGCGCATCGTTTGAAAGGATGGTAAAAAATAAAGGATTTTTGATTTGGGTACTATTGATGACTTTGGTTTATCTTGGAATTTTTGTGCCCTTAATGCATTTGGTAAGTGAATGACAGAATGTGTTAGTTCAATAATAAATATAGACAACTTGCATGTTCGACTAATTTTTGATCTGGGCAAAAAAAGTAAATTCCCGTAAAGAACTTATTAAAATTAGTAAAATTGCAAAATTTGGTTACAAATGTTGTAAAATACGGAAAATATAGCCTTGCGAAGTTTGCATATGTTTGTATTGCAACTTTGCAAGGCTATATTCTCCAAGCTTTACAACATTTCGCAACCAAATTTTGCAATTTTACTAATTTCATGATGTTCTTTTTAGCTGTGGTGTTTTCAGTCACAACTGCCCCTGTTAGGTCTATTTTCGGCCCAAATGTGGTAGCAATTTCCTACAAAATTTGCGAACTTTGCAAGACTATATATATTTTCCGCATTTTACAACATTTTGCAACCAAACTTTGCAATTTTACTCATTTTAGTTTTTAGCTGTAGCCTGTGGTGATTTATTTGCATCTCCTTGCCTAGTTTTAAAAATAATCTATAATTATCTATTTCCATCTACAAACTCTCTTCAGCATTTATTTCTATCGAGTAGGATGCCGCGTTATTTCATATTTTGTTTATAATTTCTTCCAGATGTCATTCTGTCAGGACATTGGGATACCAACATACATCAGTGTCTACAATATCACTTTAATGTCTGGCATGGCAACATTGGGCAAAGTCCTATCAGGAAAACTGATCGATATACTAAACTGGAATGTCCATACATACAACATCCTATCATTGCTAACATTGGCCGTATCTATAACCTTGCTGCCTTTGGCGAGAACTGCATCTCATGTCTTCATCTTCGCTGGATTCTATGGGTTTGCCATGGGAGTGCAGTGTTTGTGTGTTATTATTATAACTCCCGAACTGTCCCACCCGGACGATGCAAAGCATGCGGTGACTTATCTATTCGGAGCTCTTAGTATACCGGGGGGTGTTGGACCAGTTCTCGCAGGTAAGCCGTAATTAATACAGTCTGTAATAGAGAGTAAGGATCATCTCTTATTGATCCAGTGTTACTACAGGAAGAAACCTAAACTAAACTAAACTAACTTAATTTACATTGGATAGCTCTATCAGTTCTAATCTGTTTTCCCTAGATGTCCAATAAAGATCGTCCCAAATTGATCCACTGTTACTACAAGAGGAAACCTAAATTAAATAAACTAACTTCATTTATACTGGATAGCTCTATCAGTTCTAAGCTGTTCCCCCTAGAGGTCCAGTAAAAACATCTCTCATTGATCCAGTGTTACTACAGGAGGAAACCTAAACTAACTTTATCTATACTGGATAGCTCCATCAGTTCTAAACTGCTTTCCCTAGAGGTCCAGTAAAGATCACCGATCTCATTGATCCAATGTTACTACAGGAGGAAACCTAAACTAAACTAACATAGCTCTATCAGTTCTAAACTGTTCTCTCTAGAGGACCAGTAAAGATCATCTCTTATCGACCCAGCAAAACGATAATAATTCACACTTTTCTTTATCACAGCGTGGATATTCGACATCAGTCGCTCGTATCACTTGGCATTTTTTATAGCTGGAGGATTTTTCGCCTGTGCTGCTTGTCTTGGTACATTGATTCATCTGTTAGCTTCAAGAAATACTAGCATGAGTTATGACAATGTTTTAACTACTAAACCGGTTACTTGACCGTTTGAAAGTCGTCAAAAGATGTACCTAATAAAACTGGGAGTTGACAAGCGAGAGTTTCCATCTTTTCTCGATACTCGTTGCCCAGTGTTGAACTTTGGCCATGATCGATCGTCCAGTTTACACTTTCGGGATCAGATTTTTTTACGATACCGCAATACTCTATGTGCGCGAGGCATGTAGTAAAACACTGACTACCGGAACAACGGAATACCACCGTTACAACTTGTTGACAAGCTTGCTACAAGTCTGTTGCGAACACCTCTTGTTGACAAGTTGCAAGGTTTTTACGTGTGCAGACGAGATCTCATCTTGCGCTAGGTGTCAAGTCTCTCTCAGTCAAGTGGGATAAAATTTTCGACATAAAAAAATAGTTTGAAAACGCCATGTTTAAATAATTTTGTTCCACCCAGGCGAGATATAAAAAAATTCATATAACTCATGTGACCTTCCCAGCTAAAAGAGCTGATATATACAAGAACAAACTGAGTGAAACTGTGCTAACTATACCGTTCGCGAAAAAGTACAACCGCACAGTTTCTGTATTTGGTTCCGAATTCCCTCAGATTCGTGTTAAGCCTAGTTCACATAAGGGACGGATCATTAGAAAAGTGATGGGGGGGGGGGGG